TCTGGTGAATTCGCGTAAATACACTTCGAGATGGAATCCTTCGATCGGGAAAACGCCTTTGGTATTCTTCAACAGCAGCACGTGCATTGCGACCGCAAAATCCACACACAAAATGCATATCACAATATTCCACGTGTGAAAACACAAGAGGCATTTCAGCAACTCATCACACAACTAATTTACCACCCATTCACGACCCCGCCGCAACGTAAACTGTAGGCTCTGGTAGGTTGCGCATGAGATCACGGCTAGTGTGACATCACCACACTCAAGTACAAACAGATAACAGTCACAGCTGACTGTCCACAGTGCGTGGACCTGCAAGAAGACCACACTTTTCTCGGGCCATTATCTCCGTAACCGTTCAACTTTGGACGTAGGTATTTTGGGTTATATCGGCATACTTTAACATAAGGAACACCCTCCCGAAGTTTGGTCCATTCCTCCTGGGACACCCTATATATAGAAACAACATTATTTGCATTTGTTGCTGTGTGTGAATTCTTTGTAGAGTGTACAATGAGTTTTACAGCAATGTATGTCAGAATATGAATGTGAATTCATGTGGTTGAACTGAAACAAAAATATCTCGACACAGGTCATCAAATGCTTCACAGTCAAACGAAAAGCAGTATCAGTTGGTTAGAAGCATTCATTTTTGTTCTTGTACTAAAGTAGATGTTCAGTGTGATATCCCGGGATTTCAGCATGTCCTTGTGCACAGTATGTGAGATAGGAACTTTTACACTAAAAAGTACCAGGAACAGATTATTGTATTGTACAGAAACGTGCTTGTGGATTATTTTGGGCTGACTGGCCATCCAATGGGGCCATGTCATGTGATTCAATGCTGAAGACAGACCAGATTGAGGAGGTGTCTGAAACTGTGGCTCTGGAGCAGGAGCACATAATGTGAAGACTATATCCATTGTCATGTACTGGGTAATACATGTTCTAGTAATATTCTGAGGGCCTTGTACTAGAGAGTACTATAAAAAGAAAGAGGTTTTCTGGAGAAAGGAAAAGGAGTTGTGACCCAAAACTAGGTAGACCGGACAAAACTGTGATTAAAATTTGGCCTTCATCCTATAGAAAGTAAAGATCAGTAATTTTGATGCATTATGTCTTTGCAGTTGTTGTGGTAATATTACCTCAGAATAGATGCTTTTAATATTTTGCCCTGGAATTTAACTTCAGATAATTTTGTTTGTCCAGTACTAGAACATAAGAACAGAGACACCTGAATGGATACTTGACACAGATATCCATAAAGTTTGCCATGTACCCTGTTAACAATTCAGAAGTGACGGTAGCCTGGCTGGCAGGCATTTGATGGCTCATATAAGGAGCAATTATTTGCCCATTTTTTATCACTAAATCCATGCCCAAATTTATGGTGCAACTTGTGATAATGCTCTGTACCCGATTAAACCTCCAAATGTGGAAATACTTCTGAACTCTGTTAAATAAAATTTCTGTATTAAACCATAACACTTTAAATGATTTTTAGTAAATTTTTCTGCAGTTTAGTTGCTGTTGATCTGCCTCAGGTGAAATTACCTTTCCACAAAATTATGTGACATATGTTCTTGTTATAGATTTGTCTAGGGATGGTACAGAAGCTGATAATGCAACAGGCAGTGGACCAGAAAGGAGCTCGGTATATCACAGACACACTTTGGATGCTCATGGAATCAGGCACTGAGGAGGTTAAAGTTCTTCAGAGTGTGACACTGCTGCTGACTACAAACACAATTGTACATGGAGACACACTTGCTAGAGTATGTATCATTTCAAGCAAACTTCTATCAAAACTATAGTTTTCAGTACAAGAGGTCGATGAAACTAGAGCCCTGAGCTGCATAAGATGGGTACAGCACTCTTTGTTACAGTTTATTTATCAATATTTGAGATTTGGAGTAAATAATCTGGCATATCTCTTCTCTGCTAAGAGGCATGGAAGTGCACATGTGGTAGTAGTGTTAGCTACTACTTGTGGAGACTGTGAACATTCTAAGCTCTGCAGTTCAGGGGTAAAGACCATAGCCTAGTTAGGCTAGCAAAGAACCATCAGCCCATTCTTAAGCATCACATGTTATCACCTTCGCCACCCAACACCCAGCAACAAGTGGAGTAAGGGATCATACCCTCATAGCTCTGGACTTGTTTACCCTAGTTCGTTCTGTGGTTGTTCAGTTTTACTTAATCCATGTACCAACTTCGTTTTATATTTAGATTTTATTTATGCCAATACTGTCATCAAACAGAAATTGTAACTATGGGCCTATATGAGAAGTAAAGCATTTCACAGTTCAGTAGAGCACTTGGTAAGTATTTGTATTCATCTGATGATGGCCAGATAAAATGGTCAAAACGCTTGATTTTAATCAAATGAATGTTATACATTCTCTGTGTTGCATTAGACGGAACATGGCAATTGATTAGTTTGAATCATGCAACAGGGTGCATTCCATAAAGGTTATGTTCTTGTTTGTTGTATAATCTGCAAGTTAATATGAGTAAGCTCTGAATGTCGTTTATGATGTAAATACCAATTCATAATCAGATTAACACTAATATAAGTTTCCTATGACAATTTTGGATCGCCTCTGTGGTCTAGTGGTCAGCGTTCCTGGCTACAGATCCAGAGGTCTGGGTTCGATTCCTGGTGCTGCTAGATTTTCTGAGAAGAAGTGTATCTGGAATGGGGTCTACTCAAGCTTGTAAGGATAATTGAGGAGCTGTTTCAAGGAAATAGCGGCTCCAGTCTAGAAAACCGAAATTAATGGCTGTGGGGATTCGTTGCACTGACCATGCAACACCCTCTATCTGTTAAAAGTTGGCACTAACTTCGCTGACTTGTGAACCAGTACCACTGATTTTTTTTATGACAATTTTGTATAATGCATTTCTGACATGCAGGTCAATTGTTACAGAATTTGGTGCTTTGCTTTAGACTTCATTTTACAAAGGATTCTACAACTGTAAATACAGCAGGAGCAACAGTGAGACAGTTGGTATCATTGGTATTTGAGCGTGTTGTGGCTGAGGATGAATATTTCAAGACAAAAGAGTCAGTTAAGAGGGAAGTGAATTTAGAAGAGTTAAAAGTTCCTAGTAATGTTGCCCCCAAAGGACTCCGGCCCTGTGCTGCAGATGCATATTTGATGTTCCAGGTAATGTGCAATAAAATATCTAGCAATTGAACTGTAATTATTATAATTTAAGGTTCCCTATATTTCAGCTTTTACTCATAGTCAGAATTTATTCACTTGACCACTACACCTGTAGTATCTCAGTTTACCATATTACATTTCTGCATGCAGGATCATGTCTGTAACTTTCTCAGTATTTTTGTTGTAATTCATGTATGTGGCCAGTAACGCGCAGAGTGCTTCTGCCATTTAGAAATACACTCAACTCTTAATTACACTCAACTCTCGATTATCTGGGATAATGATGGGGATGGAAATCTCGATTAATCGAAAACCCGGTTAAGACAAATTTTATTAAAAGTAGTACTGTAATACTGTACCTTCATAATACTATAGGCCTACCTGTATTTAAATTTATTCAACCTCGTTTTTTATGTCATCTCATGGCCTATTTAATACTTTTTTTACATTACACTGAAGTATGAATTAGTTGTTTAAGTCACAGTGTTCAACAACATCCAACACTTTACAAATATTCACACTTAACACTTAAAAAAATTAAATATTGTTGTTTGCTTTTTCGTGTCATTTTCCTTTTTATGGATATCTGTACGAAGCCTACTTAATATTAGCTTGTCACTTAATAAACTGTTCTCTTCACTCTGAAGATAGTCTAGTAAGGATTCCAAATGATAAAGAGCAGCACCGTGTGATATTTTCTTACTAGCAGCACTCTCCACCTCTTCCTCATTCTCACTTTCTTCCCGCTCTTCTGACTGCACCCCCACTGAACTTACGGTTTCGTCACTGCTTAACATTTTGAAGCCTAGCTCACACGAGTCACAGTCAAACCTCTCTCCTATATGTATTTTCCTCCTTGACTTCTTCACCACCATGAACTTGGTTTGCCAATTTTGTCAATTCTATGCCTATCTCATTTTCACTGAATCCAGTGGATCCATGGACTGATTGATTCTTTTGTTTTTTCAAATCACGAACAGTTTGTTCTCCAATACCATATTGCATTGCTAATTGTTTAACTACACCTCTTTTTCCCAGCTGATTGATAATTACAAAGAGACTAACTGGGGCGGTGTATCTGTCCTTGAAACTTTCCACAAATCCTTGCATTCTTTCACCCCTACCCTAGAACATTGTGTTGGCATAATGTGACCAAAAAATGCAGAGCTCGGTTTACACTAGTGTGAAAATGGTGTTACAACTCACCATGTGAAACAAAAGTGAATGAATATTAAACAACATATAAGCCTCAAAAAAGCCCTGGTTAAGCCACAAACCACTTTATCCGCCCCCGGATAATCAAGAGTTGAGTGTACAAGGAATTTTTTTCTTGAGAGTATGTTTTATCCAATCATGTGTTATTGTCACCCTGGCAAAATGACACTTCAAGAGACATACTGAAATTGTCTCACAGATCATCCCAAAAAATGTAGATGGTCTTGTAAGAAGGTGTTTATTATTTTATAGATATCAGTTTCTGTTAGTACTTTTAAGTCTAAGTGTTACTGTCTAGCAAAATGGATGAAAATAAAATACAAATACAAATGTAAAGGAAACTCAGTATGTCGGCTTGAGTTTGCAGCAGTTGTACTCAGCAGTCAGAGTGTTAAGTCAGTAGTAAATACAAGGTTAGTATGTTAAAATTTCCCATTGAGACAGGTGCATGCAACCTGTATCTGGGAGTTATGTCTGCAAATACAATTATTTTCTTTAAAAGAGGCATGCACCATGATTTTTTAAATGTTTAAATGACCTTCTGTTTTACATTTGTTTTACAAAAATTAGTGTTTCTGGAATTTTACTGTCACTGCCTCTCAGAAGTTTCCCTCAACTTTATGGGCATGTCATAGCATATACAGCATTGCTTTTGGAAAGTTAAGAAATCTGAGTCAGAACTTAAGAGCAGATTTATGGATGAACATATACAGTACAACATAAGTTAAAAGTTGTCTCCACCGACAACAAAGTGGGTGTTCTTAGCCTGATAATAGGCAGGCATTGTCAGATACAGTATTAGTGATGTGTATTTTAAAACAATCCTTCAAGCTAATGAGTTAAATCACCAGTAATAATTATATGCAATTTATTTAATAATTGAATTAAAATTTAATTGCAAACATTGTATCTGTGGTTTACACCATAGGGTTCCAAGACCTCAGATAGGCCTGCAGTGGCCTTAATGCAGGATTGTCAAAGAAGAAGTCCCCAGTTTTAAACTTTAATACTCATTTAATGTGAAACATACTCATGGGGTTTGTTGTGAAATGCTCATCAACTTAAACTTATCATTTCTTGCCTGCTGTGCATGTGCACACTTGACAATTTCAGTGGTAGCAAAATTTTGTTCCTAGTGCAATCAGTATGATTCATCTGTTGAGGAGAAAGCCCAGTGTGTTATATGGTTTACCAAGTTCAAGTCCAGTTTGACCTTTCCATGTAATTTTCAGTTCATGTGTAGAAGAGAAGCTCCTCATGCAAAATCAATTTGTCATTGATTTATTCAGTTTAAGAAAAAAATATGTTAAAGCAAAAAGTCATGAGGAATACCATGGACTTCAGAGTAGAATGTTGAACACACAGAGGTATCTTGCACACAGAGTCCAAAGAAGTCTGTTGCATGTTACAGTTTGCTGCTTAGTACAGGTGTACCCAAAAACCATGATCTGAAGCATGTTGCATAAGTGGCTGAGATTACATGCTTACGGAATTCAACTGAGGCATGAAATCAAAGACACCGATGCTCTGAAAGAGTTTAATATGCAAATTATTCTGACTGAAATTGATGGAGATTTTTTAAGATGAGTACTTCTTGCAAATGATGCTTCATTTCACATTAATAAACATGTTGATCATGGCTGTAAAATCTAGAGAACAGAACAAGTTACTGAGTATGTGTAACACCCAAAAAGTGAACACGTGTTATGGACTTCTATGTAACTGTGCAGTAGGACCTTTGTTTTTTGCTGAAAACACCATTAAGGGAAGCTTCTCACATGTGAGAATTATTTGCGTTCACACAAATTGAAGGCATTGAAAGTGACACAGAAACTGCAGTTGTTTTCCAACAGGATGAGGACCCACTCCATTTAAGTTGTGAGGTTTGACATGCCCTGAATGCTGTGTTTTCCAGTTGATGGATTGTAAGTAGTGAACCGGTAACTTGGCTTCCAGGAAATTTAGATCTCACACCAGTGGAGTATTTTTGTTGTGTGAATATGTAGACAAATATTGCTCTCACAGAGAAAATCTGTGTTTTGTGTCACTTGTGAGACAGACTTTACACTGTTGTAGCGACAGTCACTTCAGATATGATTTGTTGTACGTGGGGTGAGGTTGGATATCGCCTGAATGTGTGCATGTTTATAAATGGTACATCAGGAGTTATTAAGGATGTCAGAAAACTACTAGTTTCTCGATATGTTAAAATTAAATGTACTTTGTTTTGGTTCATTGTTTGCAAATATTTTTGTCATGAAACTAGGGAGTTCTTTATCAGAGACCCCATATTTTCCAGTGTGGCCCACAATCTGAAGAGATTGCACAACCATTTGTTAAAGTACTGATGGAATAATTTTCCAGAGAATGAGACTTGTTTTGATTATAAATCATACATATGTATGACATAGTTTAATTTGCATCTCCAGGACTTAGTGCAGCTGGTAAATGGTGATCAGCCATTCTGGTTAATTGGCATGATAGAGATGACAAAAACCTTTGGTCTAGAACTACTGGAGTCTGTGCTTACAAATTTCTCATCAGTTTTCTTTCAGGTAATTAAATAATTTTAGACTAATATCCTTCTAGAAAGTTGGACAGCAAAAGATTAGTAAACATACTCCTTAAGCAAACTTGCCTCTTAGAGTCAAATGGTTCACTGATGCCTAAGGAGACATTTTAGAAACACACGCTGAAAAGGAAATCGGTTGTTGAGAATTTAAAATAATTTTAGTAATACTGTAATGTGATGGGAGAGTGTATTCCCAGTCAGCCAGCTTGTGGCTGTGTATCACAGGAAAAGGTATTTTCTTTCGGGTGATACAGGTTAGCAGAGTTTAATTCTGGTGGAACAATGTCTTACACAGACAGCATATGTGGAAGACCTTCAGAAACATATTTAACAGATGATGTCTGTATTGCATCAGTTTATTACTTCATCTACATGACTGTAGAAGAACAGCTTCCTGTTGACAACTGTGCATAGTGATGGATCATTTTATTATTACTTTAGTGGTTGTATTGATATCAGATAACTTGTTAAAAGGCATGGTGACTTTGACTGTGGTAATTTCCTGTTGAAGTACTGTGTGCCAGTGAGTTGTATTTGGTTATCATGACATTCTTGAATTAGGGACATTGTAATCAGAGGCATTTCTAGGATACATAAACTTGCTCCAAAAGTGCTACTAATGCAATATGATATGAACTGTTCAGGAATGTAGGGGAATCACAAGGTTGAGACTTGTTGTATTTGAAAGTACTCTACCACATAGTAGGTGAGGTAAGGTAAAGTAAAATAATTTAAAGTAAAATAAAGTAAAGTAAAGTAAAGCAAAGCCATCCCTGTCAGAGGCCGTGGGGGTCCATGGGGTTGTGAGATGTCAACACTTGCATGTTTTCTAGACAGACAGCTGACAGATGGCAGTGAGGTTGTCAGCCTTATGGACCAGCTGCCTTTTACCCCCCAGGAAGATATCTGGTACTCATTTCTGTTAGAGGCTTAGTTGACCCCAGGCAATAGTGTGGCTGGAAGGATTAGGTAAATTGAAACATCCAGTAACTTCATCAGGATTCAAACCTGCAACCTTCTGGCTTGTAGCATAGTATTTCAACCAACTATACTACATGTTTGATAAATATTGTTATGGAAAAACACCTTCAGTAGTGCATGGAAATAATATTGTAACGTGTTTACTTACCGAAGACGCTNATGTAAGTCAATGTAAGTATTGGGATACCAACTTTTTGTCTTTCACAAAATTCCTGACATCTTAATGACGAACAAGCATTTCTCATGGTAATCTGGGATAGGTGAAGTCAGTCTAAAACCGTGACTGCCTACAGTACAATTGTTTCTGTTAACTGATTTTTTTTCTCCTTTGAATCTGTTGTAGGGATATCTTACTTATTTGTGTCATATTTTGCAGTCCATTTGCAGTGAACTTTGGAATTTTAATTTTCTGGACTTAACATACTAGACCCATAAAATTTACTTACTCTCATCAAGTTGTTTCTAGCCATTTATATTAAAGTGCCATATTCTATAGACTGAGATTTACGTGTAAAGTCAGGTATGTCCATGAGTGTCGGGTGCCTTTCTTTCTTCTAATCTTTTACAAGCACTTGTCTTTTTTACAAATTGTATACAGCTATGAATTTCCTACCTCAACAATACCATTTTTAATTTGTTCAGCAGTTGCATCAGCAATGATATAGTGTGCAGTATCAGGATAATAGTAAAATATATTCAGTGATTTTCATCTTTGTCAGTCTAAAATTTGTCTCCATATGAAAGAACACAGTGACAGACTTTACTTTTTGAATGCTGTGAATGAAATTTTTTGTCACAAGCTTTGTTCAGGTATATGTATTTTGTTGAGTGTCAAAATACATGTATAACAGTGTACTGCCATAGCAGCAAGCAGGGATAACTTTTGCTTTCCATTGGAAGTCTCTTGAACTCTTTCTTAGTAACATGTTGTGGACTTGGTATGAGTACATACTTATTTCTTTTCAGAAAGAGGGAAACATTTTAATTTTAACTAATGTAGTTATTTGTTGATCCCAAATTTTAATTAGTTTGAAATAGAAAATTTGGTGCTTTGACCTTTGTATAATTTGTGAGGAGTTAATCATAATATATGCTGACACATCTGAATCTTGCAGTAAAACTGAATGTATTAATGTATAACCTGCCCTGTTTTATAATGCTATATGTATCATTGTTTTCTAGAATGATGACGAGTATAAAATGGTTAATCTTTTTTTTTTTTTCAGCATCCAGAATTCAGTTTCTTACTGAAAGAGCGTGTGTGTGCATTGGTAATAAAGTTGTTTTCTCCAAACATAAAGTATCGAAGTTCCATTCCAGCCAGTGTACAACAGGCTACACCACTTGATAAGCCATATTTTCCCATCAGTATGAGACTTCTGCGTGTGGTGTCCATACTTATCCAACGTTACCACAGTCTTCTGGTAAGACACAATCTGCAGTTAAGCATTTTGCAGCAGAATCTCTTTACGTTTCTCTAGTGGCTAGATTTGAATCCAAGATTGAACAAATGACTTTGGGACATAAATTATAATGTAACTTCAGTGTTGTGATTTATGAAACTTCAGAAAATGCTTGTTGTAACAGATACTAATCATACTCAAAAATGGTCGAAATATGTATGTAAAAGTCAGTCCGCTAATGTTCAATGATATATAACGTAGTATGGCACAAATATTTAATAAAAAATGCAGATTCAGTGTGTTATGTGGTATTACAGGAGTGTAAGAATAGCAAAGAAAATTCATTAGTCTCATCATTGTTAGCTTTATATGTATGAACTGGATAGTTAAAGATTTTCTTAAATTTACATAACCTATTCTACTGACAACTGATTTCTAATTGGGCGCTGTCCTTTGTAGGTAAAATTTAGCCTATTATTTGGTGAATGCTTGCAAGTCTCACTCACAGCACAGTAAGTGATGTTCCATTCTAAGAATTTCTCTGTAATTTTGTGCTTACCTTTGGAGTGTTTTTAAGTGGGATAAGTCAGTGATCAAGTTGAATTAATGGATAAATCCAGAAATGTTAACATAATACAAGTTCTCACTGTAACTACATCTGACCCCAATACCCATATTCGATCAACTGACACCTTTGTTATTTAATAAAAAGTGTGATGATAGTAATGTTCACGTGAAACACTTATTATAATAAAATGGACAATTACTGGTTTTAATTGTACTTCTCCTGACAAATTGTTCCTTGATATACGATGGGAAGTTGTAATGTTTTAATTATCACCATGAGAAAATCATAATTCCAAAATATCGTTCTGTATAGGAGATAGCCCATTCCCTGAGCTTGCCAAACAGTCAAATTTTCTTGCGCCAAGTCGACAGAGGGAGCCACTGGAAGGGGAAGAAGCAAAATGGCAATATCAGTTGAGAAAGTGGAGGCTCATGCTGTGATATGGTTCATTTACAAGGGAAGTCTGCCAGGGAGATCCATGACCAGATGACTGCTGTGGATCAGGAAGGTGTACCATCTTATGACACAGTGGTCAGGTGGAAGAGGCGCTTTCATTGTGGACAGACAAACCCTGAAGTGGAAGACCATATCTTGCTGAGGAACCGGGAATTGTGGCACAGATGGAAAGCTTAACTATTGCATAACTATCGAAGCTATTGTTCATGAGGTCCACATTAGCCATGGTTCAGTTTTCATCATCATCCTTGCCGAGTTACACATGACAAAGGTCGCTGCGTGTTGTGTGCCATGTTTGTTGACGCCAGTTCAAAAACAGCAACAGATGGATGTGGCAAGGAAACTTTTGCAGTTGTGTCAAGATGAAAAGGTGGAATTTTTCGACCGCCTGATCACGATGGATGAAGGTTGGGTCTATCATTATGAACTTGAAACAAAGGAAGTGAACAAGCCGTGGAAACATTCAGAATCGCCACCACCAAAGAAGGCAAGATTTCAGCCGTCATCAGGAATGGTGATGTTGAGTGTGTTCTGGGCTTGGTGGGGTGTCATCATGACCAACTACCCACAAAAGGGCGTCAACATTACTGGTGAGTACTACCGGAACTTTATGAGAAAATTGTGCATGGAAATCAAGAAAGAGCAATGTGGAATGCTGGCAAATGTGTGCAACTTCTTCACGACAACACACTGGCTCATGCTGCTCATGCTATGATGACGCTGTCAGTTTGGGTTATGAAATTCTCCCCCATCCATATTCACCAGATCTGGCACCGAGCAACTTCTTCCTCTTTCCACAGCTAAAGAAGCCACTTCATGGTAAGCGATTCCAAGACGATGATGACATCATTCCTGCATTGGAGGACTTCCTAAACAGTCAAAATTAGTCCTTCTATGATCAAGGTATTCAGCAGCTAATGCATCATTTTGGAAAATGTGTGGCCTTGCAGGGGTCACATGTAGAGAAGGACTAATTCACATACAATTTCTTGCACCTGTGTCTCTGTTTCTTCTGGGTGATCATTAAAATTTTATGACTTCCCCACGTAATGTTCAAAATACCTTTCCACTAGGGAAAATTTAAATTGTATTTCAATGTATATACAAAAATAGTAATTTTTATTATGTATAATCTTATATTTGAGCATTTCTTTCATATTGCCCGTCCACTTCATCTTTGCCACCTAAAATCTTAATTCAGTATTCTCTTCTTCCCCTCCATCTGGGTTCTCCATTATAACTGTTTTTCAGACTGTACTGTGATTCCCTTTCAGGTGACAGAATGTGAGATATTTCTGTCTCTCATTGTGAAATTCCTGGACCCAGATAAACCTGTGTGGCAGAGGTCTTTGGCGCTGGAAGTGTTGCACAAGATGACTGTACAGCCTGAGCTGCTTAAATCGTTTTGCAAGTGTTATGACTTGAAAGCCCATGCAACTAATATCTTTCAGGACATTGTGAATTCCTTAGGAGCATATGTCCAGTCACTGTTTGTGAACCCTCAGCTCATGGTCCAAACTGGAGGAGGTGGAGGAGGAGGAGGTAATAAAGAATTTATTATTGCATAATATGTGGAGATTTGTGATATTCCAAGCTTCAAATCTCATGTCTAGTTTCTGTTGCATAGGCCATTCTAAAGAATATGTCCAAGTCTGAGGCTCTGTGTAACATTTTGAAACATGCTAGCTTTTGCAATGAGTTAGTCCCCTTGCTCATCTCTTAGGCTGGAGAACTAACCTTCTTCAGGTTTCTGGGATACCATTACCAGATACAGTTTGTATCTGGAAGCTATTTTGTATATGTAGAATATGAAAGACTGTATTATAAAGGGGCGTGTTAGTATGGCTTGAAATTCTATTTGACAAATTTTCCTTCTCAGTTTTTATCAAAATCTGTGGTAAATTCATGTATGTAATTAATTTTGCTCTAGATATACCACCCAGGATTGTTTACTATCTCTAATGATTATTGATTTATGGAGCAATTACTGCTGCACCATATGTAACCACTTACATTCTTGAGATCAATTGTCTGTTCACTTGTTAGTTCACAGCAATGCCACTGCTCACAGCATGGCATGGCCTTCCTTACAGTTATGCAAGACAGCTGTACACTGTGTTGTACTTCACTTGAATGCTCTGTGTATCACCCATTACTTAAGTAACTAGCTGGGTGCCTACTCTCTTTTTATATGCATTTTACTCATAGTGAAAGCTCTAGAATCTTGTGGGTGACTGTGTGCTTCTGATCAGTTTCCTGAACATTCTGAACATTCCAGAAGGTATGAGAGGTACACACAAGCCAGAAGACACAATGCCAATATACTCTGTTCCTGTGAATACTTTCATTTCCAACCCCCCTTATAAAATTGGTTTGTGGCCAGTTTTGACAATTGGTATATAAAATGTAAGAATTAGTAATGTAGGATTTGAGGTTCTCACAGCAGTGATTATGAAGTGTTATGTCTTATGGAATATAACACCATGTAGTCTGGTCAGACATTTCGCAGGAACATGTCACCTCCATCTTGTAGAGTTGAAGAGTAAGCCGTGCATGAAGCAGGCATCAAGCAGATCTGTGCCTTGAATGTGTTTTAGCTACAGTTGAACCATCTTCACATGCAGGTTGTTGTCATTCCAATTTAAAAACTACCGTAGTAAGTCAATTGTAAAATCACTTTCATGATAGTTCTTAAATGTAATAAAGTTATCTTTTGGCTGAATTGTGGTCAAAACTTGTAGCATGTGACAGCATAAAAGTGGTTGTTGATGGTGATTGTAAACGAGGTATTTACACAGTACAACTCATTGGTACACATACTGTTAAATTTATCAACTTTGTGTTTATATTGGGATGTTACAGGTGGGGCAGTCCCAGTTGCACAAGGACAGCCCCCAGCTCTTCTTGCTGGCATGCCTGTTGGTCCAGGGGTCTCTCCACAGCCAGGTTTCTTTTCTAGAGGAGTTTGGCTTCCTGTTGTTGTTACATTCTCCAGTGGTCAGGCTAAATCAACATAGTAAGTAATTCTTGTCCATAAATTTTATTTTCAGAATGTTACATTTTTTTATAATTTGCCTAATGTGCAAGATAACATGATAAGAAATCAGCTTATGGACCAGATGGCTTCAGTAGATAGTTCACAGGGGATATCTGCTATGTCTTTTCATAATATGAATACCAGTCTTTTTAGATGTTCCCTTGCTAATACAAGCGTGCACATATCAGCAACATGATATCCCCCCCCCAGTGATCTTCAGTGTCTGGTGTTGAATTATCTTAATCACAACTCTCCAAATCATGGGATTGGCTGAGGAGGACCATATATCTGGCAAGCAGGTTCCCACTGTTTGAAGCCCTTGGATTATCATCATTAGGGGAGCATGAGGGAGCTAGTCTAAACGTAAAGATCAAGTGCCAAAAATGAAATTCTTCAAAGGGTTTTGGATACTGCATATGATATTGAAACCACTCCGCATTCTAAGGGATGTAAACACTTCACAAATATACTTTGTTGAAATGTATGAGGGCTATTTGGGAAGTAACCTCTGTTTATTTTAGACAACTAATGTAGGAGTGGGAGAGAGCTTGCACATGTGAGGTAGTGTCACATGACTCACTGCCTTGTAAACCAACACATAACTGGTCACCTAGTATTTGTTCTTGTCTCTACAGAGTGAGTTATGATGTGTCCTGTGGTTGATAATCCCACCAGCTTCTAAGTTCACACTGTTATCCGCTTTCTCTTCTCTGAAACACAAGTGCTACAGAAATCCATTGTGAATTATGTGCTGTTTAAGACCAAATTGTAATGAGTGATGTAACTGTAAGACAGTGATGTAGAATGTTCAGAGATGGGTGGGTGAAGAAATGTTCATGATGAAGAGCAAAGTGATTGGCCAGCCATGTGTAGTGAGTGATGATCTTGTTCAAAGTGTCGACCAAAACCCTTGTGAAAGATGGCGCTTCATAATTTCAGAACTTTCATGTGGATTTCCACAAACTTCATGCACTGTTATCCACGAGATTATCACAATTAGGCTAGGCTGTTGTCACAAGTTTTTCCCAGCATGGCTTCCATAAATGCTTACAGGGGTGCAGAAAACATGAGGAATGGCTTCAGCTTTGACTTTTCAAAGTGATACCACTAAGATGTCAATGAATATCTCACTCACATTGTACAAGTAACAGGTGATGAATCCTGGGTTTGATCTGTGAATGCTGAAACCAAAGATCAGTCAAAGCAGTGGATGCACTCACATTCAGCAAACAAGCCGAAAAGAACAAGTTTAGAGAAATGTCTGCCTGCCAGAAAGCTGATGGGAACTGTTTTCTGAAACAGGACAGGAAAGAAGAGCTGATGGTTGAATTTATGAAACAGGGGACCACAGTGTGAGAAGTGTATTGCAAAATACCAAAAAACTGTGTAGGAAGATTCAGAACAAAAGGCATGGAATGCTAACATTTGGTATAATATAATGTCCATTATTTATCGTCTGTCAATATTGCAACACTTTTTTATTCACTACTTAATTTTAATTTTAGTTTAACATTATACACTTTGACACTACATGTTTCGGCCCCAAACAGCCATCTTCAGGTGTCCTGATGTGTTACAAATATTTTATTAAACTATGTTAAAACTGAAAGAAGAAAGCAGTCTTCTGGGATTTGGCACCGTGTATATGTGGTGTTAACCGACGTTTCCAAATCTTACATATGTTAAAACTGCTACACTGTGTTAGTCCGTGCTAAAATCACACACTGTAGTCCTCTTTTTCAAGGTAAAACCAGATAAAATCCTTTACAGTTTCTATTATACCCACTTTATTTTGGTGCATAATATTTCACCTCACACTGGGTTTCGTCTATTGTTCATAAATGTATGTCTGTTCAGGGTGTTTTGTTTTGGCAGCTTGCCCCTCACGTTCATAGCCTACTTTTCAGTTATGACTGCCGTATGCCCCTGGTTTGCGTCTTTCCTCCACAGTGTGTGGTGTTGTCTTTACTAAATACAGAATCATCTGGTATAATGCTGCTGCATGACAATGTGCATCCACAGACTGCTGCTTGCACTCCAGCACTGCTGGAGCATTTCGGCAGGGAGTTGTTTGACCACTGTTCTTACAGCTCCTGATCTCTCTCGAACAACTACCACCTGTACTGGTTGTGCTCACAGTACTTCAACAATAATGAGGATTTGATGGCAGGTGTCAAAATATGGCTGAAGTCACAGGCAGCAAACTCTTTGACACATGCATAAAAACTTATTCCCTGATAGGACATGTGCCTCAGTTATGGTGGTGGCTCCATTGAGAAGTAGCTTAAGTATGTACATATTTTTTGTGTATAATAACATTTTTTTTCTTATTGCTTGTTTTGTTATCAGCTCATTGGAGGTTACTTTCCAAATAGACCTCATATGTTCAAGTTCAAGGCATATGGCTTCCACTTTGAACTATTTTTATAACACTACACCATGCTCAAATGTGGACTCAAAATGCAGGCATACTCTGAACATTTTTCTAACATCATTTATTACAATTTTGAAATTTTTTATTATTTTTTTCTTATTTCTGGTATATCTTTGTCTTTCTTTCAAACTATCATGACTCCTTAAACTTATGAATTGGACCCATATTAATAGGACTCATTTTATTCAGAATCATGGGATTAATGTACCAGTGAAATTCAGTGGACTCTGCCTGAATCACTTTGTAGGGCTTGAATTGTCATCATAATCATTTCATTTCTGTTTTTGACAGCTTAGAGGTGCTGGACAAGATTGACCCTCCGTTGATACCTGATGGCTATGGTATCTCTGTGGCATATGCTTGTCTGCTAGATATAATTCGTTCCATTTCACTGACAATTGAAGGGGATCCTCCCAGTGAACATGAACAGCCTGACATACTACCATATCAGGGCAGTGAAGAGGATAGGGAATTGCATTCACAGCTTATAATCTCAAGCTGGTGTGGACTCCTGGCAGCTCTGAGCCCTCTCATCGAAGCAAGGTATAGCATGCAAGTTAATTAAATTCTTCATGTACAGTTTTCAGTTCGCAAATGTTGATACAGGACCATCAAAGTTATAATGTGTAAAAAAGAATTGGTGGCTGAATTATCATGAACTCTGAATCAGTGAGGTTTCACTGTACTTGAAAATTGATAAAGAAGTGTTGTTTTAAATAGGCTGTAGAATATACACCCGTGTACTCACGTAAGCAAACAAATATATACTCTCTCTCTCCCCCTCCCTCCTTGTCTCTTCTGTGTGTGTTATAATTATCATTTCATATCCCTTTATGTTTTGTGTCAAATAATTATTCCTGTTTATGTTATTTTTGCCATAGAACTTCAGTGTCTTATGTAGTGTGCTTGTGAAATAAGGCATGGGAAAATTCTTTGATTACAGTACAGATGAAACTGCCTCGGAAAATGTTCTGAAAGCAATCCAAACCTTTGCAAGTCTGTGTGGGCGCCTGGACCTGCAGACTCCAAGGGATGCCTTCATCACAGCAATATGCAAAGCATCACTTCCCCCACATTATGCTCTAACAGTGCTTAACACAGCCCCTCAGGGTGCTGGCTCAGCCAGGAGTAAGTTTTGGCTTCTCTTATCTGCATTAAGGTACTATCAGTAGGTTTCAGTTCTTATGTGACTGTAAAATTAGCATTACAGTAACAGGCCCATTGAGATGGTATTAGCCATATAAGAATTCACTAGTTCAGAAGTAGTGTTTTAGAAAGGAGAATTTGTCATTGTTGTGCTCCTGGCCTTGAGAAGTGCTCAGAAGTAAAGCTGTACTCTTGTAAGTGCTGAATCCAGCATGCAGTTTGTCTTTCTAGGTTCTTGAAACTCAGTTATTCACACACTATTTTACAACTGACATTTGTACAATATTAACCCTTCCGCGACGGATAGTATTTAAATCTTTTCCTACCGCCAAACTGACGGGGTATTTAATTATTAAACAGAAAAATGCACTTATCCATGAAAAATTTAGTAACTCTCGCAAAAATAGGTATATTGAGATAAAATTTTCACAGAAATATTCATAATGAAACGAAGAACAAAACTATATATATATTTTTTAATATAATTATGATAAATAATATTTTTTTACTCACTCGAACTGCTAAAAGTCGAGTTTGGTGTGGTAATCCTGAAAACACTTGTCAATACATAGCCCAACATCACAATCAATGCACCAGTACACGGTT